AATTAAAAATTAAATTTAAAAATTAATTACAAACTAAAAACTTAATTAGACGAACTAAAACTTACCCGTTAAGTAAAGTTCGTTTAGGTAGTTTATTTAGTAGTCAATTTATTTTTACGAATTATTTTTTGATATTTATATTAAATTCTCCAATTTTTAGAGAATAAACGCTCAAAATTTTAAGTGATTTGGATTGTAGAAAAAAAAAAACTAAAATTCAAATACGAAATGCAATCGTGACTGTCAGATTGGCCCAGATTCAATTTAGGCCGTTGGGCTACACTATTCGTGCCCCATCAGTCGATGGGCGACCTTAACTTTTTCCTATATATATATATATATATATATATATGAGTTCATTTTTTCTTTTGGTCAAAGGTGTTATTACTTATTTATAAAAGGTACTTTGGTTATTATGTCATATTACTATTACGAGTCCAATCTAATTCAAATTAAATTAGAAGTAGGGTTTCTTGGAGTCTAAATTAGGTTTCGTAGATAAATAGGGGTCAGTATAATGGTTTGGATTCAAAGTTGGATATTGTTTGTTGGAGAGTCTTGGTTTCACCTTAGAGCTACAATTCTTTAATTTCATTCTATGAATTCTGTGCTGCATAGAACAGAAACCTGTAAAAGGTGTTACCTGTTTAATTTCACTCTTCTTGTTATATAATCCATACAGTGATAAGAAAATGTCTTAGTGTTTCGATTTGTATATTCATATTCCTTTAAGTACCAATTAGCATGCGTCTGTATTTTTGTTTATTTTTACTGGTAATAGGTTCATTGTACTTTAGTGAAGCTTTATTTTTTATGCCCATTACATCTAGTATAAGAAAAATGAGCTTAGTATTTTTCATTTTTCGGCAGGTGATGGAGAAGAGCAATTTTAAGATAGTTACTGATGATGAGATAGATGTTGCTCGCACAGGACAATACCTTCTGAATCTTCCAATAGCAGTTGATGAATCTAAGGTATGAATAATATTTTAGCAAGTTTTAGCAGATGTATTCTTTCAACATCTGATATTTCTATTTTTTGGTATAGCTGGATAGGAAGCTCTTGTCACGGTACTTCAGTGAACATCCCTATGAAAAACTCCCAGAATTTGCAAACAAGGTAAGGAGAGATACTCTTTTTCATCTTCTCAGATTGTCTTTTGGGAAAGATGTGCTAAAGTCCAATAGATTATGGCAAATTCATATACCCTTCAGTCATCAGAATCCATTAATTGGTGGATGGTGATGGAGATACTGAGAGAGAATGGGACTTTCCTTGGGGGTTTGTCCTATTCTTGTGGCTCCTACTCTCGCCGTGACCATCCATCATGTCAATGGAGTGTGATGATCCAATGAAGTGTGGTGTTTCCCTAACATTGGGGCGAAATCAACTGAATCGCCTTTTCTTTTACAGTATATTATATTCCGTCGCGGCATTGGGATTGATCAAACTAGTGATTATTTTATAATGGAGAAGTTGGACATGATCATCTCACGCATTTGGGGTTGGTTTCTTCGAGTTACCAGGTGAGTGATATGTGACACCCTGATTGATTAATTATTCTGTAAGGTGTTCAATGCACCTAGAAAGCAATTCTCTGTGTCTAGACAAAGCTTAAGATATTTATTGTTGGTCTTGATACTGGACTGGTAGGCTACAAAAGGTTTTGTCCAAGAAGCCAAGTCGGCGACTACATAAAGATTACAAAAAGACTGATGAAATAAGGGAGGATGCAGAACAGGATGATCTGTGGGTTGAGCGCATCCGTATCGAGAACATGGATATCAGGTTTTGATGAGTCATATGAAGTAACATTTATTTTTAACAAAATTTGTATCATAATTGAGTGGTGTATGATTCTCCAAAGTGGCATCCTCCATCTGTTACTGATGATAAACAGTGCAGATTATCCATGCTTGGGTGAATGCCCCGTGGGCCTCACTCCTATCAATATCCATCTATCAGTATGAGCAGATAATGGTGCCCTTTGTTGTATCTTGTACCCTACTCCATTGGATGATGGATGTCATGTGCCTCATTTTTAATGGCTGCATTGTGCATTGTGTTTCTGCAGAACAGCATTTTTATGTCTTATTGATGACTTGTTTAATTAAGGACACTCATTTTTTTCTCTGTAGCATGAAGAACCTACTTAGTAAGATCACAATACAAGAACCCACTTTTGATCGGATGATTGTTATTTATAGGTGAAGTATGGTAAACTTCAAGATCTCAGTTGGTTATATGCTTCTTTTCCCAAGTGGAATCAGAGTTGCCTTTTATTTCTTTTTGCAGTTATGCTCACTGACTATTGTGGTGATTATGGGAACTGCTTTATTTGTGGGGAGAGGCTATAAGAAATTCAATGGACTACTACTGCATTTTGTTCTCCTAGACACCTCCGTGGTGCTGCCACCCTCCTAGATGGTTGGAGGTTAACTGTACCAAGCTGAATGCCCTTGTGGGCCTCACTCCAGTTGATCTCTAGCCATCTTTCAGTAGAGCAGTCAGTGAATGTAGCCTAGGAGTGCCATGTATTCTAGGCCATTGAACTATGGTATACCTTCCCTAATTTATGAGCTCTTGCTTCCAGATTGTGGCTCTACTTTGGCAGGTTGAAATAACACCTCTCAGTACAAATGGAGTTTTTTGCCTTATTTGCTTTTGAACTTTATAGGAGGGCAGGCAGTAAGACTCAAACTGACCGAGGAATATATGTCAAGCATTTTAAAAACATTCCAATGGCTGATATGGAACTAGTCCTGGTAAGCCTTCCACCTGCAATTTGGGTCACCAGAGATTCTTGTTATGGGGTGTATTTCCCATTAGGAAATGTTTACCACTAATCTACTAGAGTTTATGGGGTTCTGAAGGGGCATCTACTACCCAATGACTGATTGGAGGTGTAATTAATAGTTACTCTTGATTACCCCAGTGGTTGCCACCAAGATTAATCTGCATTTTCCATCATCAGGAATGGATGGTGGATGCACTTCGGAGTACCATACATAATACTCGGGAGAATATACTTCCCTTTTCATAAATTTGACCGATAGAGAAAAGAAAAAAAATTGTATCTAATTCTATGGCTGACAGTAAATTGAATATTTTTATAGCCAGAGAAGAAAAACCCCAGTTTAACCCCTATGGATTGGGTCAAATTTCTTATCTCAGCAGTTCTTGGATTGGTGAGTCTTTGATGGTCATTTTTGATGACTTCCTGTGCTTCATAATTGTCATTCTTCTTTGTAATGATCACTTGTATTCGTGAATAATAAAAATATGCTATTGTTTTACTCGTGTAAGTCTACCATGCTAATTTGTGTTTGTTCGATCCTCAGGTTACCCTTGTTGGTTCTCTTGAAATGCCAAAGGCTGATATTTGGGTCACAATAGCTGTCCTTTCTGGTCTTATTGGATATTGCGCTAAGATTTATTTTACGTGAGTGTTTCTATTGAGAACTTGAAGCAACCTGTGTGTATATTTCAGTGATTAAAAAAGCGTACCGCCTAGTGCCTAGGCGGCGCCTAGGCAGTCGAGAACGGCGATGTGTCCAGGCCTAGGCGGCCGCCTAGGCGGTACGGAACCTGCCTAGGAGGGACGTCCTAGTGCTTAAATCCAGGCCTAGT